GTCCTGGTTCACTTCAAATGTTATGCACATCAATAACCTTATTAAGTTGGAGGCTCCTCAAGAAAAGCTCATCAGTATTTTGGTATGTAAATATAAAACATAAAAAGAGGCAATTCACTAAAAGGGAGATTTTAGAGAAGTAACTTTGTATGTCATTTGTTTTTCTAGTGCATATCATTCTATTGTATTAGTATCACAGAATCACTAAGGTTGAAAAAGACCTCTAAGATCACCTAGTTTAACCATCAGTCCATCACACCATGCCGAGCTCTTTTTGGGTGACTGTAGAGAGTAATAAATTCTCCCTTGAGTCCCACTTCTCTAGACTGAACAATCCCAGTTTCCTCAGCTGCACCCCATCAAATTTGTGCTCCAGATCCTTCACAGCTTCTCTTAGCACACTTTTGGGCTTCAATGTCTTTCTTGTAGTGAAGGGCCATAATATGAATGTAAAGCCCCAATTCTTGCTTCAGATGCCCCATTTAGGACAATCTTTGGACACCACAAACTGAAAATTTATTCTTTTCTCTTTGCATTTATTTTTGAAGAGTTCATTTTTTCAGCCCTTGATCTCTAACAAAAACAAGGGTTGGCCAGTAAATACATTTCCTATTGTTATTCTGTAAAGGCCTTTGATTGATTCATCCTTCTTCTGACTCATATAATTGATGCTATAGAAGTAATTTTTGAAAAACAGAACAAGCAGTCATCTTAAATAAGAGATACTCCTATTCCTACTCTTTCCCTGTACAATACTTGGCACATTTGACTACATTGTTCAAAACAAAAGGTTAAAAAAAAAAAAGCCTGAAACTTTTCTTTGCTGTGGCACCAGATAATCATTAGAAATGGGTTTACAATGATTTTGATCTCATCACATGCAATCAAATTCTATCCATGTCTGAACAACGCAGTTGGAGACTATCCTTACTACTAAAGAAATCACCGGCTATGCTGGCCAAAGTTGTTTTACCATTTCTTCTTACAGTAAAGGAGGAACTAAAACCACAGACCTTCTATCTGTGGAGGAGAATCACTGAGTCTAAGAAGCATGAGAATCACCTGTCTTTATTAACACCCAAACAGACAGCTATTTCCATTCTTCATAAATAAATTTAAAAAAGAAAAACAAAAACCACTGAACCAAACCAAAGGCTTTTTTATTTATTCTGTAGTAGAGGAGCTCTTTTGGTGGTGTCATACAATGCAGGGAAAACAATTTCAGATACCAGAGCCAAAGAACACATGGTATTTCTCCATGCTTTTAGTTCCATCTCCAAGGTAAACAGATATGGAAAAGGAAGTCAAGAACTAAATCATAATAGAGACAACATTATCTCAAATTCTGTGAGCGTTAGGGCAGATCAAAAGCAAACAAAAAAAATTGCCATTATGTTCCATTAGCATTATCAAACACAGAGTAAGAAAACAAAGTACAAGATTTGGCTGTGATAGTTACACATAAACAAAAATCGACAGCCTCTGGCTTGCAGACAGTATTACTTAGCCCAGTGGACCAAATGTGAATGTCCACTGCCAATGTCAAATCAGCTGAGATGTTTGCTTGTCTTTTCCTTGTCCTTTCAAACTTCTTTGGAAACTCACAGCAGCACAAAGGACTGAACATACAGCCTGAAATACTCACTCACAAGTGCTGATTTTCTGATGGGTGCCCTATATAAAACTCAAATTACCTACTGACAGAGATGTTCCTGGTGACCAGGATGAGGTACCTCTGCAGAACAGAAACATGTTAATCCTTGTGTATTCACTCTGTGATTTGTGAAGGCCTCTCACTGTCTGCTTGCCAGCATCGCAGCCTCTGCTTATTGCCATATTTACCCACACTCCTTCCTACCTGGAAGGTCAAGTAGGAAAGGGGAGTCACAATGATATTTAAAATTAACAAACAAGAGATCCCTCTCGGGAAGAAAACACCTACAATAATATAATGTTGAATGTTGTGTGTTGTAATGAATATGCATATTTTTATTTCATATCATAAAAACTATGACAAGTCAAGTAGAAGACACAGTCTTGGATTAAAACAAGTTACCTGACTAACAACAGCAACTTCCTAACATTGATTTTACCACTATTCATCTCGTAAATACTGGACAAACCTAACGCTTTTCCTGATACCAAAGCTACTCAGGTTACACAACTGGGAAGTAACTTAGGACTATTTTGAGAGTAACTCAGAATCACCTTCAGAAATTTTAAAGGTAAATAAAATCACGCAAGCAAAAGCTATTGAATCTTTTGACACAATAATTTAAATAATAGCTGAGTACAGTTCACCTCTCTGGAAAGTTACAGAGCTATAGAATACTCTGAGTTGAAAGGGAGCTACAAGGATCACAGAGTCCAACTCCAGACTCCACACAGAACCACCCAAAATCCAAACCTATGAGAGTGGTGACCAGATGCTCCTTGAACTCCGTCACTCGGAGCCGTGCCCACCGCCCTGTGGTGCAGACCCTTTCCCTGACCCCCATCTGCCCTCCCCTGACACAGCTCCATGCCGTTCCCTCGGGCCCTGTCGCTGTCACACAGAGCAGAGCTCAGCGCTGCCCCTCCGCTCCCTGTGAGGAGCTGCAGCCGCCATCAGGCCTCCCCTCAGCTCCTCTGCTCTGCGCTGAGCACAGCGAGGGGCCTCAACCGCCCCTCACACACCTTGCCCTCAGACCATTCCCTATCTTTGTAGCTCTCCTTCGGACAGATAGTTTTCTGCAGCATTCTGCAAACAGCAAATGAATCCAAGGCTGGGTTTCTTTTTGGTTGCTGCTGTCCAAACTCAAATTCCTGAATTGTTCTTGTCATGATTTCAGCTGATCAGGCAGCACATGCCCACAGCATGCACATGTATATATCTATATACACTTTCCTGGCAAGCTGACAGCTTCATGATAAGCTCAGAAGGAAGCCTCATTTTGTTCAGAAGGCCAAAGGGAAAGAGGAAATAACATGAATACGCCAGCAGATTTGCACTCATCCTCAAGACTGCCATCAGGTCTCCTTATTACAGGACTTAGGTTTATAATTATAATACATGTATAACATATAATAGATGAATAGACTTAGGTTTATAATTCTCATCACTGGTTAAAAAAATAAAATTCCACACAAAAAGAAACGTAAGGAAAATGAAGTTCCACTTGTCAGAAACTTGCTACTTCTGCTGTTCCATCAATACCAAGGTGAAAATAACTTCCTAGCAAGCACAACTTAATTAGAGGCTGCCAACATACAAATTTCCAAGGGCAGCCTGTAGAGATAGGAGAGTTGTTTTTTCCTCCATCCTAGCAAATTCTATATGTGCTACACACTGAGGAACAACACAGTGTAATTCTGACAATCTCTCATGCAGAACTAGCTCTAAGTCACTTTTTAACTACCATAGTATTTAATTGTGTCGTAGTCCAGGAGCTAAAGATACTTTCAAGGGCCAACTTGTGAAGTCATACAGAGACTCATATGCCAGAGGAAGTCTGAGTAACAGAGCAGTAAAGAGATCCTCTAAACCAAAAATGAAAAGAAGACAACAATTGAAAAGCCTCACCACTTCTGGAACGAAGATTATTGCATAGCTTTTTGCTGTTGCAAAAAAGGCCTGGGGAGTGGGAGCACAGTTTAGAGATTATTCATTGGGAAAGGATGGATGGACAGCTGGTCTGCAGATCATGACAGCCTTTCAAGCATGGGTCTCCACATACACAGATTTTTTCTACTATATGTTGATTTCTTGTCTACATCATCCCAACCATGTACTGATTTTCAGAAGACATGTTTACATCTTAGCTGCTGCTGCTGCTAAGGGGCTGCAGAGGGGTGGCCAGCAGACAAGGGGAGCTATTATCCCCCTCTGCTCTGCTCTTGTGAGTCCCCACCTGGAGTACTGCATCCAGGCCTGGGGCCCCCAGAACAAGGAGGAGTGGAGTTGCTGGAACAGGTTCAGAGGAGGCTATGAAGATAATCAGAGAGCTGGAGCACCTCTTCTACAAAGACAGGCTGAGGGAGCTGGGCTTGTTCAGCCCTGGAGAAGAAAGGGCTCACGAGACCTCACTGAGGCTTTCCAGTACTTGAAGGGAGATTACAAACCTGAGGGAAATCAACTTTTTACATGGGTATACAGCGATAGGATTGGGAGAATTAGTTTAAACTAGAAGTGTTAGATATCAGGAGGAAATTCTTTCCCAGAGGGCAGTGAGGCGCTGGCACAGCTGCCCAGAGAAGCTGCGGTGCCCCATCCCTGCAGGTGCTCAAGGCCAGGTTGGATGGGGCCCTGGGCAGCCTGAGCTGGTGGGGGGCAGCCCTGCCCATGGCAGGGGTTGGGGTGGCTGGGCTTTGAGCTCCCTTCCAACCCAAACCATTCTGTGATTCCACTGATGTGTAGCTTGTTGCAGGCCTGGTCTCAAGCACACCAGTTATCAGCACAGACCGTCTCCAGTGCGTAGTCAAGTGAGTTTATGAAGCACAGATAACCCATGTCACAACACTGCGTTATGGCAATGAGATTCTTAAACAGGAAGTTTCGTGAAATCCCATCAGCGCAAGGATCTCGTTATGGTAAGCAGCCAGATTGTATCACGAAGGCATTTCACAAGCCACGTACCAAAGCTCACCCCAGAGCACACCAACAGCCACCAGACCTTAGCAGGAAGTCGGCACCTGACGGTCATAAAAGGACAAGATTCACTTACACCCACGCAAGCCTCACGCGCTCCCTCAGGGGCCCTTCTGCTCCACGGAGGGGCGAAGCTTTGCCAAACTCCACCACCGCGGGGCTCACCCCCCGGCCAGCACAGATCTCAGCGCGGGACCCCACACGGACGCCCTGCACGCCGCGCCGGCGCTCCCGCAGCCGCCCGCCAGCGGCACCCACCGGCCCCTCTCCCTCGCCCCGCTGCGAGGAGCTCGACCGTCCCCCGACCTTACCCACCGCCCTCAGCAAGACGAGGCCGACCCGCAGCCTCCCGAACCGCGCGGCGCTCACCCACCTGCAGGGGGAAGGTGGCCGCCTTGTTGCCCACGTAGCCGCGCACGACGTGGCTCTGGATGGACAGCACCCGGCACTCGCGCTCCGGCTCCATGACTGCAGCTCCGCCGCCAGCCCACGCTGGGCCGACGCGGCGGCGGCGCCGGGAGCAGCAAAAGCGGCAGCGGGAGGCGGGGCGCGGGCGTCACGCGCCTGCCCGCCCCTTCTGTCACCCTGCTCGGGAGAGGGAGGCGGGGAGCGCGGGGGTCTGTGGCCGCGCTGAGCCGCGGCTGTCAGGCGATCGGTGCGGACACCTAAGGGCCGCCTCTCGCGGCGCGGCCGAGATGGCGGCCCGGCGGTGGTCCGCTGTGCGCGGCTGTCGGCGCCGGGTGACAGCGCCGACAGCAGGGTGACACCGCCCTTGTTCTAGCCACCTTCATTGCTTCACTGTGTAGCGCAAGGCTCTCGGTGCCTCATGAACGCTACCAGCACCCATACCTGTGCAAAGCACTGGCCAGCACGCTGGTGTCAGCCATTCTGCCCTTCACACCACATTTCCACCTGCCAGCCACCGTTTGCGATCAGCACTCCATACAGCAGTAGGCTTCACGCTTCACCAGCACACAGCCATGGCGAGGATAGTGCATATCATAGATTCATAGAATCATTCGGTTAGAAAAGATCTCTTAAGATCACCCAGTCCAACCATCAGCCCACCCCCGCCATGCCCACTGCCCACGTCCCTCAGTGCCACATCCACACGGCTCTTGAATACCTCCAGGGATGGTGACTGCACCACCTCCCCGGGCAGCCTGTGCCACTGCCTCAGCACTCTTGAGAAGAAATGGTTCCTAATGTCCAATCTGAACCTCCCCTGGCAAAACTTGAAGCCATTCTCTCTTGTCCTATCACTATTACCTGGGAGAAGAGGCCAACTCCTACCTTGCCACGGCCTCCTTTCAGGTGGTTGTAGAGAGTGATGATGTCTCCCTTGAGCTTCCTCTTCTCTAGACTGAACAATCCAGTTCCCTCAGCCACTCCCCATCAGACTTGTGCTCCAGATCCCTCACAGCTTCATTGCCCTTCTCTAGACACACTCCAGGGCCTCAATGTCTTTCTCGTAGTGAGGGGCCCAAGTTTGAACACAGTATGTCCCACCTGTCCCACAGCTCCTCAGGCACCCAGAAGGTGCTGTGAAGCCACCAACACCATTCAGAGCCACACAAACCGCTCTGCAATGGCCCACTGGCTTGCTGCACTGACAGGCCACACGGCTTGCCAACAGATTTTGAAGTGAATGCAATGTATGTTATTGACACACACACACAGGAACCCTTCAGAGTACTGTCAAAGAGTAAAAGATGTGTTCGCTGGCAAGTGCTGCAATACATCAGGATGCTGCTGAGATAGGAGTTGATAAAATGCCTGGAAGCTTCATCTTCCTCTGGCCATTTGTCATTACTGACCATCGTGGGTTCAGTCAAAGATCGTGTCACAAGGAGAAATCATGTCTGATGCCTCTTGTTCTTCTTAGTGGGCAGCTTTAAATCGAGTCTGAGGTAGAAAGATTATTTCCCAGAAATATTAAATTATATTTCCTCATGTTATCTAGTGGTGAAAGAAGGAACATTCTATTCCTTTCTCTGTCATCACTCCAGTTGCAAAACACAGAGCTTGCTGTAGGCTGGCTTTACAACTTAACAGATTCTGCTTTGTTTGCAGTACTTAATGTTTGACAACAGGATACAAAATAATCTCCACAAAAATCTCATGTTTTTCCCTTTGTACTAACTACTGACACTTGCATGAATTATTTCTCAGATGAGTGTTTGAGGTATTTGTCTTAAAGGAGTTGAATTTACTGCAAATAAAAAGTGCAGTGTTTCTAAAGGTTTAATTAGCATTACAGAACAACTTATATTTCAGTGCAGTTAAGGCTGAGGCTTATATCTCCATCATCTATAAATGTAGGTGTTTTCTAATTTTATAAACTGGTGCATATCCTTGGAGTGTAAGGTCAGAGCAGTGATTCAAGTTGATAATGATCTGTGTCTTCTATGCTCAAGATACAGCAAATCTGGCAAAACATAACAAAACAGCATTTCACATGAGGAGGTTGTCTCAGTGGGACATAGGTCTGAGTGGCAGGTTAAGGGCATATACTGGTTTTAAACTAAAAGAGAGGAGGTTTACGTTAGATGTCAGAGAAATTCTTTTCACAGAGGGCAGTGAGGCGCTGGCACAGCTGCCCAGAGAAGCTGTGGTGCCCCATCCCTGGAGGCGCTCAAGGCCAGGTTGGATGGGCCCTGGGCAGCCTGAGCTGGAGGGGGGCAGCCCTGCCCATGGCAGGGGTTGGAAATAAATGATCTTTGAGGTCCCTTCTAACCCAAACCACGCTATGATTCTATGATTCAGTTTCTAGTCACATATCTTCACTCTCTACCTCCAGGCTCCCTGTTTTCATACATTCAATCCCACCTCCTGTCCCTCCTTTGCAGGACTCAATGCCTAGATTTCCTCCTCTCATAATTTTAGTATACCTAGAGCCAAAGCTGATTGCCAGGCTTTAACCTCCTTCACATTTTCTTCACTTTATTTTTTTTTTCTTTTTTTTTTTTTTTTGTTATAGTCTTCTGTTTTTTCATCTGATTTGAATTATTCTATCCTCCCCAGTAACTGCCATTTCTCTTTGGTAACTACGCTATGTTTTCTTTCTTTCCATATTTCGTAAGTACACATTCTTAACTATGTAGTCTCTGATTCCAGTAATCACTCTTAAACTACCATCATTTTTATTCTCAATCTTCTCTTCTGCTTCTCCTCCTTGTCCCATTCCCACCTGTATCTCAACAACAACATATCAGACTCTGGTCCCTCCATGCTCAAACCAGGCAGCAGACTGGTACCTTTGTTACCCTAAAGCAAAAAGGAGGATAAATTGAGCTTTCAGCTTCCATTTGCTCTGCCAATATGAGGCAGGAGACTTGAGGAGCAAGATTGGCAAGTAAAGTCTGTTTTCATGAACTCTGAAGAGCTTAAGGCAGTACTTGTAACAGACCACAGACCATCAGATTTTTTTCCTCTCAAAGGCTTACAGAACTGCATTAGAATTTGAGCTGCTTTTCCTAAGTGGAGCAAAATACGCATTCTTGACATGAAAGCATCATCTTTTCCCCAAGTAAGCAATCCTGGACTTCAAAGCATAAAGTGACAACTTATTTAAAAAAAAAAAAAAAAAAGAAGAAGAGTAAGGGAGTAAGGTATCTTCTGCCTTCTTCCAGCTTTATGGGCAATTGTTGGAATACAGATGTTGTTCTTTTTTTCTGCTTTTTCTCCCTTTCCCAGCACTAGACTGTATTCCTTTGGGGCACAACTCAAATAACATATCTTATTGGTTGCACAATATTGCTGGGACAGACTGGGCCTCTCAGAAGGCAGCTGTGCACTGACATTTCTGGTTTGTTTCTATCCTTTTAGAGTCTGCCCTGGCTGTACAGTTCCCTTCGTGATAGTGATATACTGTCCACAGAAGATGTCAGGAAGTTCTGGCATTTACAGCTGTTCGTTCTAAAAACAGCCTGAGCGCGTCTGACATTCTCACCGAAGCAAGTTCCTCCCCCAAGAAGGAAAGTACACCTCACACATTTATTAAAGCCTGACTGTGGGTTTTGTATGGCAGCTATGTAGGCAAAGCAAAGAATATGCCCTAGGGAAGTCTGATATGGCAAGCACAGCTGATAATAGACTGCTTGTACACACGAGCAGGGGAACTACGGTGTGAGTAGCAGTGCTGAAGCCCTCAATAAGAAGGCAGTGAGCCTGCAGATGCAGAGCTCTGCCTTCCCCTGCAGCTGCTGACAGTGTTTCTTACAGGGGAACAAACACATACTGTTTCTCCAGGCAAATGGAAAAACCCTTTCTATGCAGGATTACTGCAATCTTCTTAATATTCTGAAAGGAATCCTCCAACCTCCTAACAGTCTTTATGCTTACCCAGGAGGAATAGCTGAAACCTTCCTTTGTGCTCTAAGCAATGTATGTATATGCAGAGGATTAAGCAGTGGAACTTGCATGCACAACCAAACGTAAGCAAGGGGATGACTCAACAGCAGCTGAATATTGAGCACCACAGTTTTTCAGAATTTATACATCTATACAGTAAAGAAGTTGCCACAAATAAAGCAAAGCCCACAAATCAGTTCTCCTTCCCTTCCAGAAAGCAGTTCATCTAAGTGTGAGCACCCAGTTTCTGAGCAGTGCAGTGGTTTGGGTTTTTTTTGTTGTTGTTTTTGGTTTTGGTTTTTTTTTTTTTTTTTTCAGATTTTGTCCTTTTTATTGCTTAAGAAGTAGTTCCCTTTGTCAGGAAAATGGGTGTGTCAGAGGAAGTAAAGACTAGACTTCAACTCCTCAGTCACTGTGCATTCTGCTGTGCTGTCTTCAAGCCTGCTCTCTCTAAAAACAAAGAAAATCAACTCACAAGTACTCTGCCAAATCTAGGGGTTCCTAAGACTATGCAGAGAGCAATAACCATTTAATATGTGACAGGGATATACATCAGAAGAGGAAAAAAGTCCAGGTTAGATCAAATGTAAGCAAACAGGAAAGCTATCCAAAGCTCCCCACTACAGCTGCTGCCACGGTACTTGCTGAGGTGACACCTCAAGCTCCTGACCTGTCACTGGACTCTGCATGGAGTTTTATGCATGGAGGTTTTTGTTGTTTTTTGTTTGTTTGTTTGTTTGTTTGTTTGTTTTGCTTTTAAGTTAGCCTGTCCCCTCAAACCAGTTCTCTTTGATTACAGCAGAATATTGTCCAAAAAAAAAAAAAAAATTGTGAGTAGACAATCATGATTTGATGAAGAGTAGATAGACCAGAAGACAACAGTTTACCAACAAATGGCTATGTTCCACAGATGTTTTTTGTTCTCTCTATACTCTCCTTCTACATTTCTCCTTAATCTCCTGTCACTGCACCATAAAGCAAAACAGACCTGGAGCAATACAAATAATTGGCCAGCCAGCAGTCCACATCTTTTCCTACCTTACCTTTGCTCCTGAGCAGACAGAACAGTTTTATTGGCCATTTGTTGCATGAGCTGTACCTTCCAAGGTCTATCTTGCTACCCTTTGGAATTCCAGCTGACAGGGCATGAAGAATAACCAGCTTAGCATGAGACAACAGTGTCACAGTATTGCACTGAAGATAATCAACTTTTAGACTGCATA